TATATATATATATATATATATATATATTAAATATTGTTATATTTCGTATATTAATTTATTAATATATTTAATTTAATTAAATATTAATTTTTTATTATTATATTATTTGTTAATATTATAATAAAGTTATTTATATATTATTGTATTTTATTTATTATATTGTATTTCATATATTTATATATTATTTTTTTTTTAATTTATTTATTTTTTATTTAACATATATTATATATTATATTTAATTTAATAATTTTTTCTTCTTTTTTTTTTTTCATTTTTATTTGCAACAGGAAAACTTGGACTCAACGAGTTACACAGAAGAATCCAACGATTTTCTCTTCTTCTTTTTTTATTTTTGTTTCTTTTATTCGTTTTCGATATTTTGTTGTTTTCTTTTTTTTTTTTTTCGTATTTCTTGTTGGGAAATAATTGTTTATTAAACAAAAGTGAATCAATATGGTTTTGGACACGAGCACGGTACGATTGGTAATACTCTTAGGTGTAACATTATACTTACATGCTGGAGATTACAGTACCGTTATACCATCGATATTTGCTAAAAATGTGGAAAAGAATGAAACAGTGTCTAATAAAGGACCTAGAGGACCACCCTTACCATCGACCATCGAGGGTTCTGCAAAATTATTAACTGTCGATTCATCTACGAAAAAAGAAATAGAAAAGGATAATGGTAAATACAAAAAAAAACATTAATTTTATATATTTGTAATAGAATATTATTATAATTATTAGTTATTAATAATTTTCGAATTATTATATATATATATATATATATGTATTAGTTATCAAATATTTTTATAAATAATATATTATAAAATGTGTTATATATGTATTTATTACTTTAATTATTATTTATTACTATATGGTATATTATATACTGTATACTAATATAAAATATTGTAATTATATACTGTGTAATATATATATATATATATATATATATTTATTTAATTAAAAATATTATTATATTTATATTTAATATTAAAATTATAATATATATATTATAATATTATATTAAATATAAAATTAAATATAAAATTTAAATATATTTTAAAATATATATAAAATAAAAAAAAATATATAAAAAAAATATAAATATATTTTATAATACAAAATATATTTATATTTAATAATACAAAATTAAATTAAATATAATAAAAAATTATATGTAATACAAAATTATATTATATTATATAATATAATATTAATTTTAAAAATATATTACATATTTACTATTATAATTATTATTTACTACTATATAGTATGTTACACTGTATATATGTATTATAATTTTAATAATATAACATTATATTAAATATAAATTTAAATAAAATAAAAAATTATATATAAATTATTATATTAAATAAATATTATATAAATATTACTAGAATATAATTGTATAATTATTTTTTATATTATATAATTATATATAGTAATATTTATATAATTTTTAATTTATAAAAAATTATATAAAACAAAATATTTATTTTATATATATTTATTTATTTATATTAAATAATATATATATATATATATTTATATTATAATATAATAATAATTATATATAATTTTTCTATAATTATATAAAATATTACTTATAATCATAAATAATTTTATAAAAAGTTTATAAATGTTATCAAAAACATTACAAAAAAAAAATTTAATATATAACACCGAATATATACTCGAATAACCTTAAAAGTTGATTAATATTTAAAGAAAAAAAAAAAAAAAAAAAAACTTTCGCCAATAAATAGGGAAAATATAAATTCCTTTCGTATAAATTATCAAGTCCCACACCTAGGTCAACTTTCTTTGATTTAATATAATTCTTCTACGTTATAGTAATATCTCATTTTAAATGCAATACATTTTTTAAAGCAACATTCTTTCCATTCATTTACATTGATATACATATACATACATATATATATATATACATTTTTAATATTGATTTGAATAGAATACATTTTTTGTTTCGTTCATTAAAGTAATGCGTTGATTATTAATTACATTCGAATTGTAATTAATTATTTCTGAACTAAATAGTATGAACATAATCGATAGATAAAAAAAAGAAAAAATGAATTCTAACGATTATTTTGGGCCTCACCTTGATATTAAATTCTATATTTTACCTTGACATGTGTTTAATCGTTCACGTGAGTCTCGATACACCACGAATACTCGTTTTACTGACGAATAAAATGCTATTCGAAAGTCGAGCATGGTGAAACTTACTATCGAAGAATAGCAACTAACCAATAAGTGTGTTTCTATCTGTATGAAAACGTTGAATTTTTTTTCTGATGTAGGTAAATAAGATCTAACGAAAAAAATGTTAATTCAAAAATTTAATCAAAGTCTAATACTTTCTGTCTGTCGAATGAGTGTAATTGTAATTATTGATAATTGATATTATCATTTGTCATTTTCATTGAAATATATTTCTTCACATATTTGAATTATTCGTTAGGAGTTAATCAATTGATAAAAAAAAAAAAAAATAATAATAATAATAAACGTAAGCTATATGTTATTCCATAAACTTTGACAGGTGTTTATATCGATATATGTGTGTATGCATAATATCCATTTTCTAATTAATGATCCCTATCAAGTTAATATCATTTGCAACCCACTTTCTATCACATTTGATTTATTTCATTTGATTCGAGTAACGCGTTTCGAGAAATAATTATTTCTAAAAAAAAAAAAAACCCAGAAAAAAATTATTTTCAAACTAAATTACACGTAACCATCATATTTTGCTGATATTTTCACAATTTGATTTTAACTTTCACTGTTTTAAGGTACACGAGTACAGTTATATTTCTATAGAAATTGTCTACAGAAAAAAAAAAAATGATATATACAAATAATTATATTTTAATGTTTTTAGCTGTTACGAGACGTGCTAAGATGATGGCAACCATAAAAACAGCATGTTTACCAAAACTCATTTGTGAATTGACATCTTCCGTTCATCAGGATCAACTCAGTGAGATGGAACGTTCCTTGTTAAATTTGATCCGGTAATACAAATATTTATTTTTAATGATATTTTTTTTTATTAGAAAGTAATTTGTTTAATCGAATTTATTTAGATCAGAATTCGATTTTGTTTTAGATTAAATTGTTGTTATTATTATCATTATGATTTCAAAATGTTAAGAATTATAAAATTTAATATATGCTTTGACATTTTATGGTTCCACGATTCTATCTTATGATCAAAATTAAATAACATTTTTTTTATACAAAATTTAATGACATTACATTTCTATAAAGAAAAAACAAGTAATTAGTTTATTCAAATGTATTATTCAGAATTATTCGAAAATATCAGAATTCTATTTTGTTTTGGATTAAGTTGTTATTATCATAATTTCAAAATGTTTAGGTATCATAAAATTAAATAGAACTATACGGTTTGACATTTCATGGTTCCAAAATTCTTTTCTAATTATAAAAATATTATTTTTAAATCATTTTGCTATTTAAATTGAATTACATTACATTTCTGTAAAGAAAAAAAACAAGTAATTAGTTTAATCAAATTTATATTATACTGTTTGACATTTTAGGGTTCAACGATTCTTTTCTATTGATAAAAATATTATGTTTAAATAATTTTGCTATTTAAATTGAATTACATTACATTTCTGTAAAGAAAAAAACAAGTAATTAGTTTAATCAAATTTATATTTTATCAAATTTATACTATACGGTTTGACATAATAATTTTTTAATAATAATATTTCTATTAAAATATAATTACATCGTATATTTTTATAAGAAAAAACAAATAATTAGTTTAATTATGAAATTTATTTAGAATTATTTTGGAAAATTTTAGAATCTGTTTTATTCTAAATTAAGATAATAACTATTTTAATATACTCTATTCAAAATATTTAATCTAATTATTATTAAACAATATTATGATTCCAAAATATTAGGTATCATAAAATTTAAAAAAAAAACTATACAATTTGAAAATTCATGGTTCAACAATTTCTTCTTATAATAAATATTATTTTTCTAATATTTTAAAATATTAGGTAAAATATAAATATATATAATAATCTATAAATATTGGGGTAAATTTCTAAAATATTATAAGTTTCATAAATTTAAATAAAATTATCCGGTTTGAAATTTCATGGATTTCAAAATTCTTTTTCATAATAAAAATATTATCTCTAACAATTCTTTTTATTAAAATATAATTAAATAACATCTCCATAAAGAAAAATAATTAATTAGTTTAAATACAATTTATTCAGAATTATTTGAAAATTGTAGAATTTGTTTTATTCTAAATTAAATTATTATTATAATAATTACTGAATATATCAGGTATCATAAAATATAATAAAACAATACGGTTTGAAAATTCATGATTCCAAATATTATTTCTAATATTTTTTCTATTAAACTATAATCAAACAGTATTTCTATAAAAAAAAAAAGTAATTACTTCAGTCAAATTTATTTAGAATCATTCAAAAGTATCACAATCTATGTTATTCTAAATAAAAATAATTAATATCATGATCTCAAACTGTCACGTATCATAAAATTTAATAAAACTACACAATTTCAAATTTCATGGTTCCATAATTCTATCTTATAATAAAAATATTATTTCTCTAATAATTTTTCTATTTAAAATATAATCATATCGTATATTCCTATAAAAAAAAAAAAAAAAACAGTAATTACTTCAATCAAATTTATTCACAATCATTCTAAAGTATTACAATCTCTATTTGACTCTAAATTAAGTTGTTAATATCATGATATCAAACTGTCACGTATCATAAAATTTAATAAAACCATACGGTATGAAATTTCATGGTTCCACGATTCTCTTCCTTGTTGGAATCTTGCGTGTCCAGCTTATGGTTAGAATACCTGTATATATACATACATACATACATGCATACATACATCCATACATATATACGTGTCCAGCTTATGGTTAGAATACCTGTATACATACATACATACATACATG